GGAAGAATTGGAGGGAGGGAACAGAACAGCATATGAAGCAGGACGTAGAGCAGCAGATCTGGCAGAGGAAGGGGGTTGCTTGGGGCACTTGGGGAGGGTGCAAGGCTAATTTGCAGCATGGCCACCAAAAAGTTTGCTCCCCCCACTGATATACACCATATTCCTCATTATTACCATCACCAATAACAAAAGCAACATCAGCACACATGACAGTTTCCAAAATACAGACTAAGAGAAGTGTTTTCCAAAAAGTTTACATGAGGACAACAGTAACTCATTCTTATGGTTTTCATCTGTAAATCTCAAGGTACTAACACTAGTAAGTCACTGTCATTCACATACACTGAAACTGAAGCACAGAGTGGAAGTAATTGTCTCTAGTGGGTTATGGAATAGAGAAAGATCCCACACAATTTACTGATTCGTTTGATGTGCCTGGCTGGGGGAGTATTTGGTTGATTGCACAATTTCACGATTGCACACTTAATTCATACAACACAATTTTATTTTAAAATTCCTTGCTACGCATATAACACTGCTTAGCTTTAAGAAAAACCACAAACATTAAAAACACAATAACTACATATATTAGAAACAATGCTCCAAACGCACTTCCTTCCCAAATAATGCTATAAGAATTAGTATTACAAAAACACCTACAATTACAAGTAAAGGTTAAATTGGAATCAATACTATTATTTCTCATACTTATATGAGAATAATAATAATTCTACAATCCTAGAATTCCGAGAAACCAAATCCCCAGATATATTTTCATTCTTTAGTTATGGTTTTAGGGTTGGTCTCAGCAGTGATAGGAGCAAGTCCCCTTCCTTCGGTCCCACTTGGGCGCTCCTAGGCTTCAACGTGAACGGGAGTTCTTGTTCACGGAGAGGGTGGGTCAGGTGATCAGTCTGATCCGGCCTACACTTGCGATTCTTCCTTCGGTGTTCTGCAAGTGAGGTTATCTCCAAATTGGGACTGTAGGTTACAGTTTTTATTGGGTGAGTTACTGTCTTGGGCCCCTCCTACCCAAACCTGTCACTACTCCCAAATCTGGGCTTGGATCTTTTACCCAACAGATTCTTTTCCTGGGTAATCAGTTTGTCTTCTTTGGGAAATTTTCCACACCACTGTGGTGACCTCTCTTCCCAACCCCTTTTCAAAAGCTCCTAGGTTTTGATCTCTCGGAATGTTTGCTTATGGGTTGTTTTTAGGTTAACTTTGTTAAAGGCCTCTAGAGATAAAATTCAGAACCAAGACATTCAGCACGTAGGCAAAAACAAGCAATGGCCTAGGTAAGAAGATGAACCTTGCCTTTTGTCTAAACTGGCTAAGGGGCAATTTTGATAAGAATTCAAACTATTACATTCAATATGACAGTAATTTTACCCAAGGCCTCTCAGTGTGTCAGTAGCAGCTGGAGAACCCAGAGTCCTGATTTTCATAGGTTGCTCTGGTCCAGGGTTTGGCAACCTATGGCTTGTGGGCCCAATCCGGCCTGTAAAGAGATTGGATCTAACCTGCAAAGGACTGATTTGGCCACATTCCCAAGTTTCATAGATTCATAGATGTTAGGGTCAGAAGGGACCTCAGTAGGACATTGAGCCCAACCCCCTGCCCTGGGCAGGAAAGAGCGCTGGGGCCAGGTGACCCCAGCTAGGGTGCTTGTCCAGTCTCCTTTTGAAGGCCCCCAAGGTAGAGGAGAGCACCACCTCCCTTGAAAGCCCATTCCAGATTCCAGCAACCCTTACTGTGAAGAAGTTCTTTCTAACATCCAACCTAAATCTGCTCTCCATCAATTTGTGGTCATTGTTCTTAGTTACTCCAGGGGGTGCCCTAGTAAACAGAGCATCTCCTATTCCCTGGTGCCCTCCCCTGACTAATTTGTAGGCAGCCACAAGATCACCTCTCAGCCTTCTCTTGCAAAGGCTGAAGAGATTGAGGTCCCTCAGTCTCTCCTTGTAGGGCCTTGCCTGCAGGTCTCTGACCATATGGGTGGCCTCCTCTGAACCCTCTCAAGATTCTCCACATCCCTCTTGAAGTGTGGTGCCCAAAACTGAAGGCAGTACTCCAACTGTGGCCTGACCAGTGCTGCATAGAGGGGAAGCATCACCTCCCTGGACCTGTTTGTCATGCATCTGCTGATGCACGATAAAGTGTGGTTATCTTTGTTGATCACTTCGTCACATTGAGTCATGTTCATCTTGGAGTCAACTATGACTTCAAGATCCCTTTCTGCTGCTGTGCTGCTGAGAAGGTCATCCCCCAGTCTGTAAGTGTGTTGGTGGTTCTTTTTGCCCAGGTGCAGCACTTTGCACTTGTCTTGGTTGAACTGCATCCTATTTCATTCTGCCCACATTTGCAACCTGTCCAGATCCGCCTAGATCCATTCCCTACCCTCTGGTGTGTTAACTTTGCCCCATACTTTGGTATCATCTGCAAACTTGGACAGGGTGCTCTCCATGACCTTGTCCAAGTCACTGATGAAGACATTGAATAGCACTGGTCCAAATATGGAGCCATGCAGGATTCCACTTCCCACATCTTTCCAGGTCGATATCGAGCCATCCACCACGACTCTCTGGGTGCACCCCCTAAGCCAACTTGCCACCCACCTGATTGTCCTCCATATCCCTACAGTTGGGAGCTAAATATCTGGCAAGGGCAGGCAGGAGACCAGTACCCTTCAGACAATATTGCTTGGCAGTTCTTTTCGCCCACTCTGTACTTGGCTTTTGTTTTTCTTTAACTTGGACTTTATCTTATACTTTACTATAAGGCTGTGTGGTAAGCACTGTAGTGACTTAGATGCAGTTAAACTGAACAAATATGGTTTTGATTGAAAAAAAAATAGAAACTCTTCTTTGCTCACTCAGAGGGAATTTGATCTGCTCTTTCTCTGTTTCCTGCTTCTCTTCCCAGCTTTTGTTTAGCTTCTGGAGTAAGAAGGAAAAGTTGATACCCTCATTTATTCTTTGGATTATCAACTTCTATCCCACTTGGTGGGTAGCAAGACAACTGTCATTCTCTTCTCCTAATATTGTAAATTCCTTGATTTCCTACTTGTCCAGAAGTGACCTTAAAATACATAAATAAATCTCCAGTAGTTTGGATTTGTTTAGAGATCAGAAAGGCACAGATTGCCAAACCGAGCAAGAAAGAGGGTGGAGGCTTTTTTGTTTGTTTGTAGCTTCTGCCCCTGCAAAGTAAAAAGGAAATGCTCTCCCTGTTTTTTTCCCCTTAATCCTTGATATTTTATCTTAATCCTTGATCATTATTAACATACCTTGGTTAACAACACAAAATATAGCTGTCTCTAAACAGTGGAAAACAGGAGGGACTCAGAAGTAACTAACAGGCACTCTGCCTGCACCCCACACCCATCTACTACAAACTCTTCATCAACATACCTGTCTGTTGGGTCTGCTCTGTCAAATGGTACCTTCCCTTAGAAATGAACTGGTCAGAACTCTTCTGTGCTGCAGTATGCTATACTTGTTGCTGAAGGATAGTTGATAATAGTTTCATTTTCTGCAACACTTCCTGTAGTTTAGCTTCATTCCAGACAGCTGGCAGTTTTGTTCCCCAGCTGCATACAGTGTCTGTGAATGTTTAATTTAGGCTAAAGATACAGTTTTGATTGATATTAGTATTAATTTTTCAACAGGATGCTGTTCCTATAAGTCTTTGTTACTGTTTAGAAATGTAGCTGGTAGGTTGCACTCAGTACCTCTATGTGATTTTTGAAACTTCTGTATGCTGTAGCTATGGAAAGCCTTGTCCTTTACTTGCAGTCTGCATATTCTTTTTCAGGCAAAGGCTTTTTTTTCTTTTTTGGGGGGGATAAAAGGATACTTTTGGAAACCCCCAAATAATCTCTTACTGACTGCACTGTGGCAGAAAGCCACCTTGGTTTCTCCCCAAAAATCTCTGCCCTGTGACACTGTGATTTAAATCTCTGTGCTGTGACCATTCAATTAGGGTGGGCCCAGCACACAGGGGACCACACCCTCAGCCTGTCTCTTTAGGGAACTGGAGCTGGCTGCATTCCTGAGGGAGGGGGAAACC